ACCAAATTTATAATAAACTGGACATTCAATTGTGTGAAAATTGTGGAAGCAAATGTGGAAATACAGTGATTTTTGTAATGATGTTACTTCTTACAGTGTGTATCTCCTGTACTTATGTTTTTCCAAACCTGTATGACATTTTTCAAAATGTCAATCTTCGTTTGTGTTCCACAGAAGAAAGAAAGTCATACAGGTTTGGAACTTTCAAGAGAGTAATCCTCTAATTTATAGATTAGCGATAACGTCTTATAATGAAAATACTATACGGACATGTTTTCATAGCCCATTGTTAGGTCAGGTCTACTAGACATCTTGAGTCTAAGTGAGCACCTCGATTTAGTCTAATACAGGTCGAGCAACCTCATGTCGTTTAAGGAATTCAAACTTGTGTACAGTAGTGTATTCAAACAGAGCTTTTGTGACAGGTCCGAAATGATCTATAGCTCTCCTTTGGAGTAAAAACATACTTGAGACCTTTTCATCCCTTTTCTTTTCTCACCCTGCATGACAGATGTGTCTCCCTTCCCCCACTACCTCCCCTCCAGCACCTCCATTTTCCCTCACTGGCCATTTATTTCATCCTACACGCATTGGTGGGGAGGAAATGTGCCTGCCACATGATGATATCTTGATTTTTCCCAAAAAGTTTCCCATTTCCTGTGAGTTCTGACTCACAGACATTAACAAAAAGGCGCACAATCAACCACGTCTCCAAAAGTTATTCAATATGGCATAAGGCATTGTGGTCTCTGAGTAATTGTTCCTGATTTTTAACCAGCTGTAAATGTTTGGGGCAACTAGAAAAGGTCTTTTGTCATTTCTAGTCCAGATGTGTGCTTTCTTCCGGATATGCGAGTTCAGCTGTGCTCTCTCTGATTTAATGATGCATTGTGTGTTGGGGATGATGTATTTCACTCATTGTAAGTAGTTTTTAGGTAAAGAGCGTGGAACAAAAACTCTCAAGATATCCATACTTTGGTGTAGGAGCAGATGGCAGAATATTGGGCTGCTAGTTTTAATTTCCTCACAGGTTCTTCAGAATAAAGTCAAGAAACATTGCTACAAATTTGAGCTTGATTGATACGGGTTATTAAAGGCATAGTTACCCAAAAATGAAAATTGTCATATTTATTCACCCTCATGTTGTCTTTTATTAAACGCATTTTTGATTTGTGCGCTATGTATTTTGATTTCGCAAGCGACAACGGTGTACCAGTTCTAATGCCATGGTGAAAGTTTGAGCAAAGCATGCTAACTGTTCTGTCTTTGGCTGCACTGACGAGCACAGAATACTATTCAGAGTCCCAGCCTCCGAGGAGATTTACTGATTTATTTACTGTATATTGCTGCTGCACAGATCTAAAACTGTCACAGACATAACCGACTGTTTTTGTAACTCGTGTGTTTTTTAAAGTAAACTTGTGTGTGAATGAAAACTTAGTTTAGTACTCACGTGCTGTGACAGCTGCTTTCTGTCCGTGTGCTTCCAATGTGTGCACTCAGAAAACCTTATATCAGAAGTTTAAACTAATATGGTTTAAAACGCATGATTTCAGCGCGATTAACATGATAATCAGAACCAAAACATGTTTTTTTAGCAGGTATAAGTTGTAATGGCGCAACTCTATTCTGAAAAAGGGGGCGGGGAGCAGCAGCTCATTTGCATTTAAAGAAACGGGCACGAAAAACAGCGTGTTTCTGCTTACACTCAAAATAGGCATTTTCAAAATTATGTAATAAATGATATGTGGGATATTTTGAGATGAAACTTCACAGACACATTCTGGGGACACCTGAGACTTATATTACATATTGTATAAAGGGGCATAATATGTCTCCTTTAAAGGGTCGTATGATGCTATTTAAATTTTTCCTTTCTCATTGGAGTGTTACAAGTTCTTGGTGCATAAAGATCTGTAAAGTTGCAAAGATTAAAGTCTCAAATCCAAAGAGATATTCTTTATAAAAGTTAAGAGTCAACCATGCCTACCTAAAATGGCTCGTTTAAACACGCCCCCACATGTCTATGTCACAATGTGGGAATATTTGCATAACGCTGCCCAAATGTTCACGAAAGAAAGAAGGCATAACTTTTATTCTCGCTGTACTATTGTTGTTGCCGCCGCTGACGTCGTGAAAGCGAAACTACTTTGTTTGGCCTTCCAAAAGAGGATGATATCCGCTTCGTCATGCCTGGAGCTGATACGTCCTGGTCACTGAGGAAATATATCAACTTGGCGCTGTGGATCGCCGGATCGGCTTTCACCGTGGACGAAGTGGAGTCCAGCCCGGGGTCGTCACATGTGGTTGCTGCAAGCCCGCCGGACATTCCTTCATCGAATCCGCCGGCCGCGCCGTTCGCGCCATTCCTTCATCGATTCCGCTCGATTCAAACGCGAGTTTTGAGCAGTGTAGAGTAACACTTGTTGTTTGTCATTCTCCGATCACAAATGCAGACATAGTTTTATATTTACGCAGCGCGATGCAGCGCAACGTGTAAAAAGACAGTATAAGTCATTATAATCCGTAATTATGTCCCCACTGGATGCAACAAATGCCTCGTTTATAATGAGTTTTAATGTTTATGACTTGACGCTCCGGCCGGACAGGGCATCATCACAGTATGGTAAGGGGCGTAACATTTCCATCACACGCTTGAGGTATTCGGCCAATCACAACGGTCTGGATAGCTGGCCAATCAGAACACACCTCGCTTTTCAGACCGATGAGCTTTGTAAAAATCGACGCTTTTCAGAAAGGCGGGGCATAGAGGAGAAACAATAATGTACAGTATGTGGAAAATAATGTGTTTTTTTAACCTTAAACTGCATAAACACATTTCATTACACCACTTTTTAGGAGCATCATATGACCCCATTAAATAAAATCTGCTCATCATTTAAAGTGATCTTCAGTCCCTCTTCAGAAGGCCTTATCACTTGATTCATATTTTTTTTCTTTTACAAGCTCTTTGAAGTGCCAGCGTTTTGGATGAGGGACAGAAATCTGTCAGGTTTTGTTAAAATACCTTGAATGAATGAAACTTACAGGTTCTGAATGACAAGGTGAGTAACTGATGACTGAATTTTTTTTTTTAGGTGAACTAACCCTTTAAATGCCAAATAAAACAATTCAGAGATCGCAAATTATATGTAGGTTTCGTTACACAATATTTACTCATATTTTACCCAGATATTTAAAATCAGAAAACATCTCAAATGACGCAAAGAAGAACCTAACACACCAAGCTTTATCAGCTGTTTCTGTCAAATTGGACTAATATGAGCTTCTTAATCATCTTGGCTGACATTTTGGCTTGTCGTTAATAGAAACCATATCAGACAAACAAACAGAGACCTTCTGACCAACTTCCAGACATTGTTAACATATTCATAATCCTGAGTGCAAGAAACTGCCATTCGTATTTCAATGATTGAGATGAGAAAAATACATTTTGCATTTGCAAAAAATGAGTACATTCCAGGATGCAGGATTTTGTAAAGTGACAGAAGTGTTTCTTTTGGCCGAATGTGACAGGCAGCTGGCTTGACTTGTAGATTTACCACCCCATTGTTCTGTCCCTCCATTACAAAACACACTGTTTCCTGTTCTGCTCTACCCATGCTTAGTATTCAGGGTGGAATATTGTTTGTAACGCTAGAGGGAAGAGGAAGGGTCACAGATAATGTGCTGTGGAAGGTTAGAGGTCCTTATCTGAGTCTGTAAGAAAAAGCGCAAACTCAGTGTGAGAACGTGTGTGTGTAGCCGGGATTGTGTGAGACGGTTAAGTGTGTCTGAGGTCATGAGGTGTGAGTGCTTCTTTTGAAATGCATCACACTACACTCCCCACCGTGGGAGAGGGATGAGTGTCCTGTGACCCAATGCGTCATTTGGAAATATAACCAAATGGTATGTGCTTCCTATGTAGTCGCCAGGGACATGAAGAACCTAACGAGTGGACAGTCTTGTTTCTGATTTGTTTTTGATGGTTGGTCCAAAGCTAGTTGAAAGTTGCTATTGGTATTGATGCATATGAGGCTAAATCTCATGAAACAATTACATATCATCCAAAAACATTCTTTCTATCTATGATTTTTTTAACAGTAGTGCTTTCAGATATTGAGTCAAGATTTGTGTTTTGACTTTGAGGCCACTCATTTTATTTGAACAATAGAAAGCAATTTTGTGAACTTTTCATTTATTCATTCATTCATTCACTCACTCAAACAAAACTAAAAAATAAAAAAAAATGTCAAATTAAGAGAGCAGCACAAGCGACTATGGTGAATCATTTCATTCAACCTTGTCAGCCATCTGGAATGTGAAATTCCTTCAACACACTATTGGCTAGAATCAACAAACAAGTTTAACAAATGCAAGATTTCAAAAAAAAAAAAAGTCCATTATATCCAACAAGTCACTTCACGTCTGCTGAAGTAAACTCCTGAAGTATCTGAACAAAATCAACCGAACATTCAATGATGAAACGTAATTGACGAGCAATGTCCAGATTCACACAAAACACATAATTGAAATGCTTGGCTATTGTATTTACATGACCAAGTCAACAAAGGATCTTTCTGTATGCTGATCTTTAGTTTTGTTTGTTTGCTGTTTGAATAAATGTTTGAAAAGTTATAAGCAAATGGGGATAAAAGAACCACATGCGTTTTGGACCACACCGGCTTGCACGTTAACAGCATAAGGGCTACAAATGTCTGAACTGACATGTAATATGCATCCATCAGGCCAGCTTTGGGATGCAAACAGTTAATTGCATCAGCTTAAATTGCATCGGATGGACTCAAATACATCGAAGAATTGCAAAGTACAGGAATAAAGGCCTCTTCTCATGCATGAATTAAGATCTGGGAGTTTAGAAACATAATAAGTAAAAAAAAAAAAAGGAATAAATAACTTTTTTTTATTTTTGTAACAAAATCAGTTGGTATTCTCAGATCCTTCACATGGGATGTTTATTCAGCATGACTTTGCAGCATTCACTGCATGTGTCCTAAGACAAGAACACATTTTGGTTTTAGGTTTTATGACAACTTTGATGAAAGGATTTGATCCACTTCAATTGTTGACTAGTATATAATAAATCCAAATCTGTGGTGTAAAAATTAGTCAAATTTTGACATCTGAAATATATCAAGCATATTTAATTGATTAATTAATTATTATAGTATTGAGGTAATTATAGTATAACATATTATATATTGTATTTTATATCATATTTAATTATTTATTATTCCATTAATTTATTTAGATTTTAGCTTTGGGGTGAAATTGGATTTTTATTATACATGACTTTTTATATTTATTTATTTTATTATTTTAATAATAATAATGCATTTTATGCTCTAATATATTGTATATTATAATCTAAAATGTAGTTTACTGCATTAAATATGTTCAATAATAATTACGTTTAATAATTATTTTTATAATTTATGACATTTAGTGAGATTTACCTATACATCAATACTTACCAACTCTGTTGACAGCATCGTTTTCTTTGCTGAAGGTGTTTTGGTCCTTACTGTCAGGGTATTTTGGAGGATATCTAGTTGGATAGTTTTTTGTTGAGAATGAATCTGTAGGACCTAAAAAAAAAAAAAAGAGAATTAAATATTAACAGACAGCAACTGAAATTACTAGTGGAGCAAAGCAGTACAAAATGTTCAGCGAATTGGAAAACTGATCATAATATCAGACCACCCTTACATATTTTTTTGCTTCTAGGCATTATGCCCCAGGTTTTGAGAGAGAATTTAATGAATTGGCGTAAAGCTGCAAGTATCTCCCCACAAGCCCAAAGAAGGGACAGCTGGCATCGCCACAGGAGACAAGCTCACATGACATTTCAATTACACGCTGAGGCACACTAGCATGGACACTACAAGTCCAGTGACATGAAAGACTGTAATGAAAGCAGTGATCTTCATCGATGCAGGTGTAGGTATGGGTGCTACTCACTCTGTCCAACTCGCAGGACCAGCTTCATAGATTTGGTCTTACAAACACCGCTGTCGTGGTTGTCCAAACCTTCAAAAGTGCTGTTTGATGTGGCTGAAAGATGGAAGAAAAAATTAATTAACCGTTTTCATGATTTTGTTTAAAAAAAGATATGATAACATCACACAAAACGTGTGAAGAACATGTCTGGACCACATTTTTCCTAATGAAAGCAATGTGACAATATTATGTATGGAAGGCCATTTCTGCCACTGAGAAAGGTAATTGCAAGTTTTAATCTCACAATTCTAATTTTGTTTCTCGCAATTCTGAATTTTCTGAGAATCGCAAGATATAAACACAATTCCGAGTTATAAAGTCAGAATAGTGGGATATAGAAATTAAGTCAGAATTGCAAGATAAAAACTCGCAATTCTGACTTTTTCTTGCAAATGCGTGTTTGTATCTCGCAATTTTGACTTTTCATGCAATTCTGACTTTTTTTTTCTCAGAATTGTGAGATATAAACTCGCAACTATGAGAAAACAGTCAAAATTGTGAGACAAAAAAAATCACAATTACCTTTTTAATTTTTTTTATTCAGTGGCAGAAACAGGCTTCCATACATTATTTATATGATAATTAAGCAAAACAATTCTATCTATCAATTCAATCAATTTTCGACCAATTCTCACTATAATAATCATGCAAAATTTCATTTTCATTTCTAGAATGCAACAAAAATTATATTGAGTATTTAACTGTAGTAATTACATATTATAATTCATTCAATTTTGGTAATTATAAAGGTCTTAACACCTCATTTGCTGCATTGCTGCTGTAATACAGTAAAAATTACAGTAATAAAATGTTTTTAATCATTTTTATTTTGCATCAGCATTATGCCGATTATTACAAAATAATGTGAATCTAATCAGAATCAACTTTGAGAATAATGAGAACTACATCTTAATAGTGAAACATCCACAATCAAATCAATTTCAAAGCAATATAAAAAATAAAAAAATAGGACCTTTTCAGTTCAGTTTTCTAAAGCAATATAAAATCTGGGATTCTTTTTTTTTTTTTGTGAGATTCATCCATCCAACATTTAGTAGTCTACATCTCTGATGTTGAATATTTAAAGCCCATCATCCATCTTAAAAACTTCAACATGCCACCGAATTATTCTTTCCTCTCGAGGCCCATTTCTCTTCCAGTCCTCTGTATGTATTTGGCCATATAAGTTTTAGCAGCACTAAGTGAGCTAGTTTATGACCGGGTCAGCTTTCCGCATGCGTCCTCACAGGTGCTCTGAAACCTTTCAAGTGTTCCTTGCGGACATTTGAGTCATGTGTTCTTCAGTCACTATGCATGCGTACGCAGAAGGTGAAGGTTCAGCTTGCTCGTACAATGAGAAAATCTCACTTTTGCGGCGCGCCAAAGCTTCTTAAAAGCTTCTGTTTGTTTGCCAGTAAATCCTTACGAGGGGCGCGCACGCACTCACGTGCACGCTAATTTAGAAACCCCTCATACTGTGAGTAATAACCGCAGCGTAATCACACAGGTTTGAACTTTACAGAAACTAAGCATATTACCAAAGCCTTTTCACATCATTATCACAGAATATCAAGGATTTGCTTTGGCCGTCAATCCACGGCTAGTGGAGTGGCTTGGTCGAACGATTTAAATGCCATTGTGCCTGCGCACCCATGCTGTGTCCTCTGATAGCGGAGCTAAAGAATTCCATTGGGCCGTAATCTCTCTTTCACTGCGAGGATTAAGACCAATCCCACATGAACAAATGGACTTCCCCTCCAAACTGCTTAGGGCACAGAAAGAACCGAGTGACCAGAGAGTGAAAGGGCAAGAGAATGGGGGGTGGGCAGAGAAAGCCAACCAAAGAGCTAAGGAGAGAAAAACAGAGGGGGAGAAGAGAGCGCTTTTACCCAACATGTCCCAGTTCTCTACAACCGTTCCCACATTCATCTGCAGCGGCCGCTCTAGATGTGACATGACTCTTCGGCTTGAATGAAGCCCGCTCATTTCCTAACCACAACAAGCACATTCAGCGCCTCGGGCCAGCGCAGCTCAGCCAGTCACGAAGCCAGCGACCGAGCAACAAAGTGGAGGTGGAAAATTGAAGTTGCGCGCATACAATAAAGCAAGTGTATCCAAGCAGATGTTATGGTTTCTGCAGGTTATTTTTAGATTTTTGCAGACATTCAGAGACCTAACTATCCTAGCGATCATATTTTAACCACACAGCCACATAGAAACATATCCTGTCTGTATGTCTAGAAGAAATGCTAATTATTTGTTGGAAGTTGCAGTTGCAGCAGGACATGATGATGTCTTGTACTGATTGCGCAGGTATTTAATGGCTGCTCCTAATTTTGTCATTTTTATTGGCTGATATGATATGACACACACACTCAACGTGTTTATCTGAAACACATACACACACTCACTCACTCAACATGTTTATCTGACACAAACATATAAATGCAATTAAACCTTAATTTTTAATATACTCTTTCTACTTTCCTCTAGTTAAATCTATACAGTAAAATGTTAGAAATAAACATTATAACTTTTAATTATTTTAACTTTTGTTACTAGTTTTCTTAACTTACCGTATCAAAAATCTATTCATTAAAAGAAATATTATATATTATATTATATATAGAAATATTAAATAAACTGAAAATCTAGTAACTTGTTCATGAGCAAAAAACTAAACAAAACCTACCATTCGAAAGTTTAGGATTGGTATGATTTTATGCTCACCGAAGCTGCATTTATTTAATCAAAAATACAATAAAAACAGTACTATTTAAAAAATGTGTTACAATTTAAAATAACCGTTTTTATGTTTAGTATATTTTAAAATGTAATTTATTCAAGTGATGCAAATCTGAATTTTTAGCATCATTATTCTAGTCGTCAGTGTCACATGATCGTTCAGAAATCATTCTAATATGCTGATTTGTTGCTCAAGATATATTTATTATTATTATCAGTTGAAAACTTGCTATGGTTGTATAAGCTGTGATCATTTTTTTAGGATTCTAAAAAAATAGAAGTTAGAATAAAATAGAACGTTCATAGGAACAGCGTTTATTTGACAGAAATATTGTGTAACATTATAAATGTCTTCTAATCAACGTCTAATGTCTTCAATCAATTAAATGCACCCTTGCTGAATTAAAAAAAAAAAATCATACTGAACCCAAGCTTTTGAACGGTATTGTACGCCAAGTCTTTCCAACATGCCTAAAAAAAGTTATCTTCCTCTCATTTAGTCAACTCTCACACACATCACAGTTACATGCACACGTTCTGACATTTGCATGCACACAAGGCGCACACACACACACACACACGCAGACACAGAGGTAAGTCTCTTTAGAATCATTTAGGTCAGATATCCATGTCCCTCGGGCTGCAGGCCAAGCTGCCTTGAAAAATCACATCAAACCGATCCGTCTCATACTGGCAAAGGGTTGAGGGATTTGGAGCGTGTAAATCTTATAATCACATAAACGGCCATTAAGGAATGTGCCAACTGAATAGGGGCTGAGATCAACACACGCTAAACTGAACGATAACCCCTTTTTCGAAGTGCTCGATTGATACTAATGACATCCATGTAAAGGGCCATCAACAAGTCTTCCTTCCCAGAGAACACTGAACACTTGTGACGTTTCCATCCCTGGAGGGGAAGAGGACAAAAATAGGCTTGGGAAAAACTACATTTTTAAAAACATAAGAAAAATGATGCAAGCTAAACAATATAATGATTAATGATATCTTTATGTCTATAACAAAGACATCTTGTGTGGTAAACACACTTGCTAATGGATTTAACACATTTCCATTAACTATAAACTTGATTTGTTCACTATTTTTGGAGGGCTACACTAGTCAGTCGCCTTCCCAGACGAAAACACGGAAAAGATATCTTGGGAGACAATGCCGGAGGCCGAAATTCCCACGGGTGGGATCAGTTCTGCATTTGGCTCCTTCTACACAGTGTTACAGCTGCCAACGGAGGTGAAAAACGATCATGAATCAGCACCTGAGGTAAATTCTTGAGTAAGCATGGCAATAAACTTACAGATGATGTGATAGTCCTTTCCTTTGTAGAACTCCAGGCCCCACAGGTTGGGGCTGAACTCTTGAAACTTGAAGGTGAACTTCACGTCCTGGTCTGGCTTGTCACAGTTGAGCAGTAACATGTCGCCCTTAGTGACTCGACAGGTCTCAAGTTGTTCTTTGGGAACAAGATAGACCCGGAAGTATTCAATGTTCATCTGCTCAGTGGAGCCTGGCTTGATTCTTGGACACACAATGTCCATTTTGTCTCCGATCTGAGGGTATAGTACTACACCCCTTCCTGGGACAAACCTGTAGGGAACACTGCGATGTTAAACATCTTATAGAGTTACAGAGATGGGAAGAACATACTGATTAGCATGCATAATAATGAATACATTCTCTATATTTTATTAATTAGGCATGAGAACCTTAAAGTTGATGTAAAATGTATTGTGTTTGGGTATCTAATAAATTTATCTTCACAGCAAAACTATGAAATATTTGAAGCTAGTTGTTTCTTCAGGTAATTGAATTAACCAACTGGTCATTGCTTCATTAATGTATTTTAAGAGTCAATCCTAGATCCAGTCCTGTATGATTTAGTTTTCTTCTGAGTAAAACAAAAGATGACATTTTGAATGTTGCAACAGTTTTTGGACCCCCCTTGACTTTTATTATAAAAAATGAGACTTTTTTTTCAAAGTGCATTCGACCCATGGTTGCCACCCTCCATTTAATCTAAAACAAGCAACTCAACGCAATGGATTGAGACAAGCAATTTCCTTTGGCTAATTTTCAGAGTTCTGTCTTGAAGCAGAATGTAAATGCATCTAAAGCATTTGGGACCTTGGCTTACTTACACATTTTTTGACTAATGTATGCAACTTTGCAGTCTTATGTTTTTCCCCATTACATATTTCTCTGCTCTGTAATGTATTTGCACAATTAACAATCGCTCACTCCTGACCGCTTGCTGGCAGTCCTTTCCTGCCCTTGATGTTTAATACAACCTCACTATATCACCTATTACAATGTTCACTTCTTGTAAAAGCATTCTGATATTGACCTTTCAGTTATTTGCAGATTCTCAGATTAATCTGATTTCTCATTAAACACAAATTATATTTTAAACAGGCCAATGTGTGAACTGGATCTGTCCTTTATTTTCTAAATCTGCCATGACAAAGTTAGACATGGTCTCATTCTCTCCCATGCTTCCCTGAACACCATAAGGCAGAATAAAAGAGTCACTTTCTAAGACTAGCTTCCATCCTCATAAAGTCATTAAGAGCTGGAAAGAAAGGGACCCTCTAGCTTCTACTGGGGGTCCTGAGAAGACAGGAAGCTTTAGTGCCCCTCCTCCGCCCCCTGCAGTACCAACTTCTGTGTGGCTCAAACCGGGATGGGGGTTGAACTGTGCCTTCATCCCGGCGCACCTTTTGTCTCCAAAGCTCTGGGACAAAGATGACCCACTGAGCTACTGGAACTCATGAAAACCGATTACAACCTGCGGCAAAGCCCCGCTACACTACAGCTTAGCATCTTAAAGGAACGTTATCCAGCATCCAAACAAAACTGATCTATTTGAATACAGGTTCACCGCTGTGAAGAAACAGCCACCAAACAGCAAAACTATGAAATATTTGAAGCTAGTTGTTTCTTCAGGTAACTGAATTAACCAACTGGTCATTGCTTCATTAATGTATTTTAAAAGTCAATCCTAGATCCAGTCCTGTATGATTTAGTTTTCTTCTGAGTAAAACAAAAGATGACATTTTGAATGTTGCAACAGTTTTTGGACCCCCCTTGACTTTTATTATAAAAAAATGAGACTTTTTTTTCAAAGTGCATTCGACCCATGGTTGCCACCCTCCATTTAATCTAAAACAAGCAACTCAACGCAATGGATTGAGACAAGCAATTTCCTTTGGCTAATTTTCAGAGTTCTGTCTTGAAGCAGAATGTAAATGCATCTAAAGCATTTGGGACCTTGGCTTACTTACACATTTTTTGACTAATGTATGCAACTTTGCAGTCTTATGTTTTTCCCCATTACATATTTCTCTGCTCTGTAATGTATTTGCACAATTAACAATCGCTCACTCCTGACCGCTTGCTGGCAGTCCTTTCCTGCCCTTGATGTTTAATACAACCTCACTATATCACCTATTACAATGTTCACTTCTTGTAAAAGCATTCTGATATTGACCTTTCAGTTATTTGCAGATTCTCAGATTAATCTGATTTCTCATTAAACACAAATTATATTTTAAACAGGCCAATGTGTGAACTGGATCTGTCCTTTATTTTCTAAATCTGCCATGACAAAGTTAGACATGGTCTCATTCTCTCCCATGCTTCCCTGAACACCATAAGGCAGAATAAAAGAGTCACTTTCTAAGACTAGCTTCCATCCTCATAAAGTCATTAAGAGCTGGAAAGAAAGGGACCCTCGAGGTTCTGCTGGGGGTCCTGAGAAGACAGGAAGCTTTAGTGCCCCTCCTCCGCCCCCTGCAGTACCAACTTCTGTGTGGCTCAAACCGGGATGGGGGTTGAACTGTGCCTTCATCCCAGCGCACCTTTTGTCTCCAAAGCTCTGTGACAAAGATGACCCACTGAGCTACTGGAACTCATGAAAACCGATTACAACCTGCGGCAAAGCCCCGCTACACTACAGCTTAGCATCTTAAAGGAACGTTATCCAGCATCCAAACAAAACTGATCTATTTGAATACAGGTTCACCGCTGTGAAGAAACAGCCACCAAATTGACCAGTTTCACTTGAGTGGCCAGATTGTGGAATAAAAAAAACAAAATGTGAAATTTAAGTGCATTTTTGGTGAAAATGCTTCATAAATATACATTTTAAGAACATTTCTTCAGGTACGTTGACCAAATGGCAAGACCACACTATGGCAGCAAGAGAGTGTGTACTACTTTGGCAGCTGAGAAAACACCAGGCTGGGTGTTTCGATCTCAAAAAGTAGCACTTACCCTAGTTTAGCAACTATTTGTCCCGACACAGAAAGGTGTGGTGGGAACAGATGTACAGACCTCGGAGACACACTTCACAGTGGAAAAAAGGAGCTCAGGCAACAGATCTCTCTTTGGCAATCAGTGAGAGGCTCTAATCCACTCTTCAATTTAACATTTCTCATCTTATAATCAGTCCTAAATTTAGGCTGTGGCTCAGCACTCTTACATGATATTAACCATGATGTAAGGTCTCCACAAGTTTGATTGCTGAATCATTCTGCAGCTTTTCCTCAGTAAATACCAGGGTACATGGATTTTGCAAGACGTCAACCTCACCATATCATTTCTACAAAACATTGCATTTACCTGCAGTTTTTAAAAAATGAGACTTTTTTTTCAAAGTGCATTCGACCCATGGTTGCCACCCTCCATTTAATCTAAAACAAGCAACTCAACGCAATGGATTGAGACAAGCAATTTCCTTTGGCTAATTTTCAGAGTTCTGTCTTGAAGCAGAATGTAAATGCATCTAAAGCATTTGGGACCTTGGCTTACTTACACATTTTTTGACTAATGTATGCAACTTTGCAGTCTTATGTTTTTCCCCATTACATATTTCTCTGCTCTGTAATGTATTTGCACAATTAACAATCGCTCACTCCTGACCGCTTGCTGGCAGTCCTTTCCTGCCCTTGATGTTTAATACAACCTCACTATATCACCTATTACAATGTTCACTTCTTGTAAAAGCATTCTGATATTGACCTTTCAGTTATTTGCAGATTCTCAGATTAATCTGATTTCTCATTAAACACAAATTATATTTTAAACAGGCCAATGTGTGAACTGGATCTGTCCTTTATTTTCTAAATCTGCCATGACAAAGTTAGACATGGTCTCATTCTCTCCCATGCTTCCCTGAACACCATAAGGCAGAATAAAAGAGTCACTTTCTAAGACTAGCTTCCATCCTCATAAAGTCATTAAGAGCTGGAAAGAAAGGGACCCTCTAGCTTCTACTGGGGGTCCTGAGAAGACAGGAAGCTTTAGTGCCCCTCCTCCGCCCCCTGCAGTACCAACTTCTGTGTGGCTCAAACCGGGATGGGGGTTGAACTGTGCCTTCATCCCGGCGCACCTTTTGTCTCCAAAGCTCTGGGACAAAGATGACCCACTGAGCTACTGGAACTCATGAAAACCGATTACAACCTGCGGCAAAGCCCCGCTACACTACAGCTTAGCATCTTAAAGGAACGTTATCCAGCATCCAAACAAAACTGATCTATTTGAATACAGGTTCACCGCTGTGAAGAAACAGCCACCAAATTGACCAGTTTCACTTGAGTGGCCAGATTGTGGAATAAAAAAAAACAAAATGTGAAATTTAAGTGCATTTTTGGTGAAAATGCTTCATAAATATAAATTTTAAGAACATTTCTTCAGGTACGTTGACCAAATGGCAAGACCACACTATGGCAGCAAGAGAGTGTGTACTACTTTGGCAGCTGAGAAAACACCAGGCTGGGTGTTTCGATCTCAAAAAGTAGCACTTACCCTAGTTTAGCAACTATTTGTCCCGACACAGAAAGGTGTGGTGGGAACAGATGTACAGACCTCGGAGACACACTTCACAGTGGAAAAAAGGAGCTCAGGCAACAGATCTCTCTTTGGCAATCAGTGAGAGGCTCTAATCCACTCTTCAATTTAACATTTCTCATCTTATAATCAGTCCTAAATTTAGGCTGTGGCTCAGCACTCTTACATGATATTAACCATGATGTAAGGTCTCCACAAGTTTGATTGCTGAATCATTCTGCAGCTTTTCCTCAGTAAATACCAGGGTACATGGATTTTGCAAGACGTCAACCTCACCATATCATTTCTACAAAACATTGCATTTACCTGCAGTTTTTTACAGGGTAATTGCTTAGATTATGTAAATTAACATTTACAAATAGTGGGAATGGCTATGAGGTGGAAGTTCGTTTTGGAAACAGTTTATACAGTGGTCGCCGTTCAGCTTCATTCTGCAAATGAAAGTACTTGCATCTCAATGTTGCTGTCAATAAAGCATCATTGTAACTAATACCCTGCCGTCTGGAAAGGTGGGTGGTCCTTCAACAAAGTGGCAGGGATTACGAATATGTTTAGTGGGCTGTCTTGAGTTTAAATGACTATGACAGGGTAATAAAATCAATAGAGAAATCAGCAAATTAAAACTGTAAAAAAAAAGTGAAATTACAGATACATTTAAAACAATGAATGGTTCTTTGCTACGCCTTCATAACTCAAGTAGGCTGTTTTTGTTGTTTGAGGTGTCTGTGTGGTACTTAAAAGAATTTTAAAAAATCATGTTATGTTTATAGGGTCATTCCTACCAATCAGCATAATGGTTTCCTTAAAGTCCTAGTACATATTTTTTGCCTTTGAATTATATTTGGATCTGTGGTTCAGATATCAACTTATGACTGGTAACTATTCGTTAAGTACAATAATTTATTTATCAATTGTATTATAGTTATACTAGCACTTGTTTATTAAACAATAGTGCATATTCCAATTTGTACTAGTAACATTTTTTAATTTTTCTAGTATGAACGATAATTAAGCCATTCCAACTAGTAATTATGACAAGAAAAAATTACTGGAAACTGGTGGACTAACTGGAGTAGACAGACTGACTAGTGTCAGAAAAGGGTATTAGTATAGTACAACTGGAACAACGACTAATACAGTTCCACTGAACCACAGATCCCCATGTAATTCAATGGCAAAATATTTAGCAATTTGTAATCAGTTACAATGGAAGAGTTACGGGCCACTACTCGGACAGTAAAGGCTATTAAAGTAGGCTATTGAATGAAGAATTACAAGTGACTGATTTATAGATCAGTCATTTTTGGAATAAATAGTCACTGTATAGAGATAGAAACTAGTCACAGGCTACTTACTAATAATTAAAAATAACCACTAGTAAAAAAAAATAGATAGAATAAATGTTAAAGCTGCTTGCCATACAACGCTTTTTCGTTAATTTGAAGTGTACTTACTTGGTGTTCGAAGTATTCCAATATATTGATTCTAAAACTGTTGATCGAGCCAGTTTTACTCGACAAGCAACCATGAAAAGACCTAATATATAACTCCACATAGTTGTATCCATTGCGATGCAAAACAGTTCACCAGTCCAAATTTTATTATAACAGAGATCCGCAGGCACTAATACGAGAAGAATCCGCTGCTGCTGGTCGTTCTCATCTGCTGAAAAAAAACATCTATTTGCCAAGACCTCCTAAAATAACAGCTCCTTTGCAACTGGCACTCTAAAGGACAAATTTAAGAAAACGGTGTTTGATAATCCATCAGGTTATTTAGACATTAAAATGTTTTAATGCGCATCCTTTGGGAAACAGTGCCTATGCACATTCTTACGAACGCAGAGAAAACAGTTCAATAGTGCAGGTTCCGTGGAATGGCAGCATAGCTCTGAAATTCGGATGTTGCTGAGGTCTAATCTAAAGGCAGTATCAGTGCTTCTCCTGTTCTTCGTCTTTGCATTCAACTCTGCCAGTCTTGGAGTGCCCTCAAGACGTGCTCAGAGACTTCTTAGGACAACCCAGTGTTGACGTTAGACCCCGCCCACATTACTCTCGATTGGATGACGCTGAATGAGTGACACCTAGTCGAACTGAAGGAGACTAAACAGGAGTCTGGAAGCGGCACTGCTTTATTAAACATTAGCCTACCACCTGAGTTTACCTGAGGCGCAAAGCGGCGTCTACATTTTTTTTCAATGCAGTGGTTTTCAACCGGGAGGCCCCAACCCACTAGGGGGCCTCAGGGAACTCCATTTAAAACAAGTTACGTTATATTAAGATAAATTTTATATATATATATATATATATA